TCCTCATATGTAAGAGGCTTTCTGCTTTTGAAACGAGCTCTGGGATTGGGCCGCGGCAGCGTCTCTTCGCACTCATTCCCAACCCACCAGGAAAAGCTGACACACAACCAAGGGGGAGGCAAGAGAAAGGAGAGGCAGCGCATGAAGGCGTTCACCAAGGCGTGCATTTTTCTCTTTCTCTTTTCACACACGGATTTTTACACACAGATTGGCGTCTTTTTCTGTGAAGACACGAACGGCCTGTGTCCCTAAGTAGGGGAGCAAATGCACGTGTTCCTCTCTAATTGGGAAATTGCCGTGCCAAGGACGAGCCCTTCTCTAACGCCGCTAATTGGATAATAGGCTTTCAGCGTCTGGTCGCACGCACTTGTAAGCGAAGTCATGTGCCTCAAAGAGGGAGAAAACACAATAATAGTAGATATTAATGGACGTCAAATTGGAGATTGCAAACAATTAGTAGCCTATGATATCGAAATTCCAGATTAGTTACACATTGAAGTAAAGTAAAAGTGAACTAACACTATCATACTTTCTGTCTGTCCTACATGATAGCTTTGCTGAAAACGGTCAAATTTAAGAATACTGACTTCAAGAACTATCAAAATCATCTGTTAAAAAGTACAGTTTGTAATTGCTAAATTCACTCTCAAGTCAGTAAAACTCCCATGCCCTAGTGTCCCCAAAGCTGTGGCCCTGCTCTACATGGGCCCATTGAAACCTCACTAAAAAAAACTGAAAGTAACCTATGATTATTTTATTTTTGTCTTAGGGATCCACTAATTTCATTGATGTTGATTTGTAGCACAAGGGCATAATTATGTAGGTGTTGAGAGCATTATCATTACAGTCATCTGAATATTTCTCTGTAAACTGTGCCTCAAGTCCATTTTTGTAGCTTGTTGTTGGCCTCCATCCTAATAACACAGTAAATCACCCACACCAATGTTGTTGGCTGTTGCCTGCCCTACATGAAATGTCTTTTCTCCTCCCCACAAGCCATGCTCACAGCTGGTGGGCAGTCTGACTCATTCTCTGCACCACATGCCATATAGTGCTCCAGTTTGTGTACAATGCCAATGCCAATGCAATGGGGGGGGGTTCATTAAATATGAACCGCTTTCTAGAAAATTCCTGAACCAACAGCATTTAGATGGAAATTGTTATGAAGCTGTGAGACAAACTGGAAGTGATTTCAGGATGGCACTGTAAGCAAGTAGCGGTGCAGGCCACCTCTTTTCAGTATAATACAAGACAGTTCAACAGCACCACAAACTACAGCCTTTAAAATTACCATAGAGTTGAACACCTCACTGACACATTCTTGAAAAAAAATTTGTAAGACAAAGTTCACATATTACAGGGCTGTTGTGTTGGAATTGATTGGGCTACATTTATCTAGGTTTAGTAATAATCTGGAAACTCAGTATATGATCTTTTAAAAGTTAAAAGTTCTAAAATCACTCTCTGGGGATTTTCTTCTAATTTGCTTTTTTCCCACCTCTGGCTCCTATTGCTCCACCAACCCTCTAAGGAGAATCTTCTCCAGAGGATTTTCTTCTTCATCCCCCCAGTTTCACATGTCCTTTTATGCCTTTCGCTTGTAGGGTTTATGCTGCACATGTGGACCTTCAAATCCAATTCAAACATTTAAACAAATAAACTGGATTTCGGTTATTTTATGAGACTGTGATAACTCATGAGTAAAATATCTTTGTCACCCACCATCACCCATTAGAATGAATGAAGCCTTTACAACAATTTTAACAAATCCTTTTTGAATACTTTAGGTCACTGAAAACGTGGCTGCAGGTATTTTTCACTGGCAGATGGAAGAGCCTTTGTAACCAATCTGTTTCCCCCTTCTCGTTTTTCTGCTTTCTTGTTTGAGAATTACAGCAAAAAGTGGGGGATGGGTGTAATCATGTGAGGAAATGTTTGCAATCCTTATCTCTTGCAGCCTCCACAGCAAATACAGTGCTGTTTAGACCATAGACTGTATACATGTAAATTTGTAATTAGCATGGATGCAATTTCAACTAGAGGTCTTGGATTAAAATAATCAAAATAAAAAACAGATGTAAAGGAAGAACGTCTCTTCATTTCCCTTTACTTGTCCTGCCGATATAAGGTTTTCTGCAAGCTCATCATTACACATCCCTTTGGACACTGACTTGGTTATTAAGCAAGTCAGATAACATTTAAGTTAGTGGGGAAGCGGGTTACTGTGAACCATGTGACTGCAAACCCATTACCTGAACCTGTTATTCTTGTGTGTGAACATAACCAAGTGTTACAATTCTTCTGGTTTCTCAGTTAAAGTCATTGACCCTGTGTATACACACAGGGTGTTGCGTTAATAATGAACTGAAGCTTGAAATCATTAATCCAGAGCTGTCATGTAATCTATTTTCTCTCTGGCCGGGAACGACATAAATCTTTTCAACACCTGTGGATAAGCTAAAATAAAAATGTTTGATAAATGGATTGACTGACAGGAAAAACCAGTGTTCTCTCTTTCTGTCACACACACACACACACACACACACACACACAGGCACACACTCACTGCCAGATGGTAGAAAGCAGCAGATCTATGTAGTACATCACCTATTATAGTAAATTTTTTTTTTCAACATAAGAATATGTTTACAAACAATGTCCCTGTTTCTACATTTACATGTCTGCTGTCAATGAAGGCAGGAGTCAAATTGTGCTCCTGTCAACAAATCAGCATTTCTGGTACAATTACACCATGTTCATTTATGCATTTCAAAGCTAATATCTATATATGTCTACTAACCAACAGTATGTATCACTTTTGTGATGTGTATAGTTTTATTTCCACCTGTCCAGTTTTATTGCTGACAAATCCTTGACTGGGTCTAACTTTAAGAACAACATGTGGCATGAACACCTTGGTCAAGAAGCAAACATTTACTGTTTGAGGGCAGAGGGTGGCAACATTATACAATACGATAAAATAATGAGGGCACATGAAATACAGATAAAAAAAGTGACAACAAAGGAATGGCACCTTGTATTGGCTCATGTAGCAAAGTAAATAAGTAGATCTATTTATAGACAACTGGAATTTACATTGTACGTTTTCAATATGGCCTGTCATGCAAACTGTTGATGTTCAACTCCCATAATATGTGTCAGCTTGTGCTTCATGAATAGACTGTGACAGGCAGTGTGTGGGATGTCCCTTTGATGAATCTGGACTTGTGTTCTCTGAGCAACCGCTTATTACCGCCAGAGTAAAAAGGCTGAAACTGCAAACAAAATCTGTGTTGTTACTGACTGAGATTAAATGGGTAGTCACTTGGGTTACATTGTTAATAGAGCAAAGGGAGAGCACCAAAACTGTGGAGAACGACAGGGTCCAAAACATTGTCCATCCATGACAAATAATAAAGAATCCATATGTTTTCATTTATTGCAACATACCAAAGCCTATTTTAACGTCTTAGCCACTTAGATAGTCCTTTTTCACAGTGGACATTGGGACATTTCTCAAACACATCATGAATGACATCATGAATGATATAATAATAGACATCTGAGAAATGCAAGTGACTCACTGCCGTGGCTTACTTACACACCTAGTCAGGTGTCATAATTGTTATTTGTTGCACCTGTGCCTTCTCCTGTAATGACAAAATGTTCACTGTGAGAGAGGTCTGTTTTCAATCTTCTTGTGGTCATTATCATAGCAATCTCTTCCCTCAGAGTTACATCAATTTTATGTGGAGTACAAAATAGGAGTAGAGAACAAGTCAAAATGACAGGTGCAGGTAGAAGTAATGACTTGACTTGTTTTAATTATGTTTTGATTTAGATTGGGAAAAGTGCATGCAAAACTATTATGTTTAATTTGCATCTTTACAATTACATATTTACAGTACTTTGTCTGTCATACAGTTTACGTCAGTGATATGTGGTGCTACCTACTGGCCTTATCATATTAAACAGTTCGTCTTCACCGTACTGACTTCTCCAGGATTAGAATCTTCTGAGGATAATGTTTGACTGCATTAAACACCAACATTTTACTCATCTACTCTATGCTTATCTAATTTCCTTTTAAGTGTGACATGATACCCCTAGTTCTTCTATTTTGCTGTAAAAAGCCAACTGGACCCACATCTCAAAGGTCTATGTGACTGACCATGGCAGAAGCTATAGTGTTTACTTACAGTAGGCTACTGTGTACATCAGACCATTTGTTTTTCTGCTGCATTTACTCTGCAGTAGGTTATTCTGGGAGGGGATGCATGATTGGTTCATATTTATCCTTGACCTGTTTAACTGAGATTGATCTTCAGTGTGATGTAAAATGACAACAAGATTTAAGGTTTAATAAGCAGGTGGTCCGGTGGATGGCCTCACAGCATGAAGGTCGCGGGTTCATTCCTGGTTACCTTTTTGAGTGGAGTTTGCATGTTCTCCCCGTGGGTGCTTCATTGTGAGCGTGACTGGTTGTTGTGGCCCTGCGATGGATAGGCGACCTGTCCAGGGTGTACCCTGCCTTTCGCCCGATGTCAGCTGGGATTGGCTCCAGCAGCCCGCAACCCTGTACGAAGGATAAGCGGTTGACGATGGATGGATGGAATATTACAATATGATACTGTAATCAATATCTTTTAAGTATTTTAATCCAATCTAACTATTTTTCTTAAGTATTTTTCTATTTCTATTCGCTTCATAGCATCTTTGGGTTTGTAAAGCTCTTTGAATGGCTGCAGTGTTTGGAAGGTGATTATAAATAAACTTGCCTTGCCCACGGTGTAAGTCCAATATAAACTGAAATAAAACAGACCTTTAAAGCTACATTGTGAAACAGGTAGCTTCTGCAAGACAAAGCCATAAAGTTAGGAGTAAAAAAGTTATAAACCAAACCTTTAAAATAGTTTCCCTACGGTGTGCTTTCTCAGTGACACGGGAAGTGACCGTAACCAAGCAACGCCGTTATTGCCATGGCAACAACGTTTGTCTCCGAGGGAGTTTGTAGCTGCTGAAGTAAAGATAACAACAAATCCAGCGTTAAGCTCTTGAACTAGCTCACTGTACCAAATTATTAAGCGCATTTCATGTAAATAATAAGTCAGTTCCGTCACTGAAATAGAGCTTCTTCTTTTTTCAACGTTCCAAGGTTGGTCTTAATTGTTAACGTTAGCAAACGTAGCTAAATGGAGCCGGAGCGGTCTGAGGGCAAAACGATGCGGTCTGAGAAACACAGTGTCAACGACGGATGGGTGTTTCTCACCCCCATGGTAAATAACGTTACCACTCTTTGTATACTTTTACCATTGCACTATTAAAAGTGTAGTGAAGCTTCAGGCTCAGTAGAGAAAATTATCAGTTAGTTATCGTTAGTAACTAGAGGTTAGCAGCCAAGCCATATTTCACTGTTTGAATAAATTGTCTCCAAGTCTTTTTTCATGCAACACAGTTGATGTGTTAGTTAGCCTGACAATATTTTTTGCAGGTCAACAGCTGCAAGTTGCACAATACGACTGTCAAATCACTAGTACCAGAGAGAGCCCAGAGGATGGTGAGTGACAGAGAACACACTGAAAGACAAGCTATGGGTTAACTGCTTTCCAAGATTACTTCATAACTGATCATGTTTACTGTTTTACAGACAGACTCTCAAGCTCTTATAAAAGAAAAAAACATGAACTCCAGCCAAACAATGAATCATTCTAACCCAGGTAAACTCATTCACAGACACATGCACCACTCACCAAAGAGGTTTTTGTGTGCATTGTATTATATTTTCATAAATGGCTATGGTATGTAATCATAAACTGCTTGTGCTTCACTATACCATACCATCTGTAGAAACAAGGTTGCATGCATGCAACCAGAGAAGACTTGTCCAGACTCCTCCGGTGTCATCATTTGCCAGTGACTCTACAGATTCCTCTGCACATAATCTTGTACCACTAGTGGGTGGTGCTCAAAGTGGTTTGGATGCAGTTTCGTATGCTCCACAAGAAGATAGAGACAAATCTGGAAGACCAACCCACAGTGCAGGGGCCACTTACTACCGTAACGCCTTAGACCTTCCCAAGCCAGCAGGTAAATATAGCAATATCACTTGGCAAATATTGTGGAATTGGGGAACTGGTTTATTGTTTGCTTTTAGATATAAAGTGTGTCTCTACAAATATACAGCATTCATTTTTATTCCATGCACTATGATATTTGGTGTATCTTGAACACAACTCTGTGTAATGTTAATGTCAGGTGGTTCTGGAGGACTTAAGTACAACACAGTCCTTGGTTTTCCCTTCACTCAGTTGCCTCATGACAGTTTTGCATCCAGTTTTCAACGAATCGACTTGGACAGGTACCTCTGGTCTCTTTTTTAATTTACAGATTAGAATTTTATCTGTGTAGCTTAGAACATGTTGGTTTAGCTATCACTGTAAAGCGGACATATGATTGGCATGTCATGTCTATGTATGCATGTATGAATCTCTATGTATCTTTATACCAGTATCTTTCATATTCTTGTGTCATTCCTGTTCCATTAAGTTTTGTTGATTTTATGAACTCAGTCTGGCTGTCACAGTTTTTGCAGCAGAAGTAATGAGTTTGCCTGAAATGGCAAGTGCTTCACATTGCCACCAGGGTGCAGCAAAGTCTCTTAAAAATACTCACCCTTGTCTCCAAAGATAAGTGGCTGCTGACAAAGGTCTACTTCACTGGTGACAGAGCAGAAATAAATCAATCAATATGCATAGTGAAATATTAACAACAATTTGCATCACTGAATGGCATGGCTTGAAGGTGATGTCATGTTTTATTAAGCGCTGAACTGTATTCATCCATATAAAGACCTATTTGTGCTAAATGTTCTTTTATTTTCCAGGCGCTATCTTGAGGAATGCCCCCAGCTGGGCGATATGGATGAACTACAGCTTCTCAACCTTCAGCACAATCTAATCACAATGATCCAGCATCTGTCACATCTGCAACAGCTTGTTTTCCTGAACTTGTATGACAATCACATCTCTGAAATGACTGGTATTGAAACCCTACGCTCTCTTAGGATCCTTATGCTGGGGAAGAACAGGTAAGTTGTCATCAGTGGATTCACAAGCAAACAAACTCAAGACTATGTTACATTTGTCTGAATTGCCTCTGCTACACCGATAGTATTGTGTAGCATAAAATTGGGGTAGTAACACAAAAGTTGCAGAGTACAATAAGTGACAGTGTCAAATGAAATATTGTTCTGATCTAGTATAAATGTTGCTTTTAGGTTATTCAAGAAGTGTTGTCTGCATGTAGCATTTGTACATTTGATATACTAGCTGCTGCTACATGGTAAGCTTCAGTGATGAGTGTTTTCCTGCAGGTGCCCAGTTTAATGGGACAACTGTTTATTTTGGCATTAGTAGTTTTTGCTTCAAAAGGTCAGCAGGAGGAAGATTAAAGTCACATATCACGCAAATGATCTTACAGACAAACACTGGAATAGTTTCTCTTTCTGTAACTTTTGTCTGTTTAGACCTACTTCCAGGGCCATGTGTGGTTCATGAAGAGTAAAGAATACCACTGATTTAGGTTTCTATTGGCAGAGACTACAGCCTTACTCGTAATTAGATCTAAATCCATATAGACAGTCCAACAATAAGTCACTGTACACTACTGTATGTTCGGTTTCCTCAAGGAATGTAACCTTTTATAAGCTTGTGGGCCAGTCCTCTGCTTAGAACCTTTTTTGATAGACATTTATCAGCTGTTATAAACACAGAAACTGATTTATATGCAGTTAGCTCATAGCAGGCGATAATATCGGCACATTTTTCTTATCTAGTTGAAATGCATTGTGACAGATTATTTATCATGTAGCCTCCACTTTCTCGTATTTATGTCACTTCTTCCTGATACTTCTCAGAATCCGTAAGATATGCTGCCTGGAAAGTCTGTCCAAACTGAATATCCTGGATTTGCATGACAATCAGGTACTGTTTCTCCACTATCCTCCTACTTACAGCATGTGTTTTTAGTCTTGTTCATTTAGTTGCCGATACTGTAGCTGGACATCGTGATTTTCAGCTGCAAAGTTCAAAGAAGTGGATTGCCTCTTCCACCTCCTCCACACTGTGGCTAACTAGTGGTTTGCTACGTGAGATGCAGCTTTCTAAATGCTAGAGTCACACAGACATGACAGTAGGAGGCCAGGCATGAGAATTCATGTACTCATGCTCATCCGAAACCCTTCATCTGAATCCACTGGCCTATAAAATGATAGATGTCTATTCAGGGTGGACTTTTACAGCCAAATTGTCCACTTATCACTGTGTCTTCAATAGAATTAGAAACAAATAGGTCATGTCTAGCATTCTTTTGTCCGTTTCACATTTTGTTCTCAAGTCAGAAATGGGTGTTACGATCATCATGTACCTCAGTTTTTAGGGACTGAATTTCGACATTTGTTTTAGTTCCCAGCACTATTAGAGAACAAAGCAATGAAAACCATCAGAACCCACAAGCTCTTGTCAACGGTCTACTCCCACATCCATGTCCTCAGTGACCCTACTTAATTTATTCACCAGGCACAACTGTTTCTATGTTTTCAGCTTTGGGACTGGTTATGAGCAGAATTAGAGCACATTCTGCTATTCTTCAATTAATTTGAGTCTATTTATGGGGGGCTGTTTGTTCAGCCTCTACAATAGAGTGTGGCTCACTGATATTAAAAGCCTGAGAAATCATATGATGTAAGTAACACTGATGTCAGATGAGGATTTAAGCTGCTCCTGGAGAAGGAAGATAGAATAGAGAGGCTTCCCTTGGTCAAATTAGTGTTTTGCCAGCATGCCGCCTACTCTCCTCCTCAGAGAGCTACTCCAGAGCCCTGGTAAGACTCCCTCCCTCTCAGATGTTCTTTGCATGAGCAGGCTTCCCAATTACTATTCAGTGACTGCTACAGTCTCATGTTATTTTTCATGACAGAGGACGCTTTGTTGCCTTAAGCTTTGTCCATTCCGTTTCCTAACGACATCTGTACAGTTCATTCATTAAAAATTTCTGATATTGTGACAATTGTATGAGGGACTTCAGAATGAATTAATAAATGGAATCTTTGGTGGTGTCCTTGTTGGTAATGAGAGCGCATTGCATTCAGAGCTAGCCTTTTGTTGGCAGGCGCCTATTAAGGAGCAGGTGAAAAATCTATTATTCCATCCCGGGCAGGTTGCTTTTCACTCACTGACTTCAAAACCTCCTGTTTTGTGCACTTAAAAACCTCTTCAATCACCTTTATTCAACATTTTCCAAACCCACCAGAGACCTGACCACACAAATGTAATGTGAATTGTTGCACAATGATGATACAAGATGATGAAATGAGTGAAGTCAGCGAGGGAATTAATGCATAAAGAATTCAAATAATGTTAGTCATGGTTATTCTACCTATCACGTTGTTGTTTAGTCACTATTGGCTATAGAACACCAGCTGCTTGTCCCCTTTCCTTTTGTGTGCATGGATGCTTTAACCACAAACAGTACATCACTGTCATCCTTTCTAGCTCCCATCCTCTAGCTGGGAGGCTCACATCACTCCCAACCCAAACTTTTTACCCATTTATTTCTATAACAGGATGTTGTTTCACTTCCAGTTTGCTGGAACTATTAAAAAGGAGATATTCTCTTTGGGAGTGTGCATCCAACCCACACTTGGTCTCAGTGACCGAACGTTAGGGCTACAATGCGACCTGACATTGTTGGATAACCAGTCTATAGTTAGGCAGTGATGTTTTCCACTGAAAAACTATTTGACTTGAAAACTCACAAAAGACAGTGAAGAATCCCCTACAGGCTCTGTAAAACAAAGACTAAGTATCACAGAGTAAGATGGTTGGTTTAGGTCATGTCCCTCCTACAAGTCAAGATGATGATGATGATTTTGATTTAGTCTGACTGAATCTGCATAACACTCTGGGTTAGGGTGAAGCTGGAATAGAAACTGCTCTCTGAGGATGCTCAAAGCTTTGTTGTCATTAATGACACACAAGGTTATCTGTGTTTGTGTCCACTTCTTTGACAATACAGGCCATTGTATGAAATGTTTAAGATGTGTTTTGATATTTGAACCAGAAATCTGTCACAAGCCGGCCTCTCTAACCTTTTAGGTACCATTGTCCTGTTAGCGTGTGATGATCGCGTGTTGATTGAAAGTATTCATGTCAGCTGTGACACAACAATACAACTATTGTAAAGGTCTTTGAATGCAGGGGATCTCCCTCTGTTGTATTCATCACCAGGTGAGACTGCTTAAAGGTGGGGTTTGGGTGGATTAGATGCACTCAGTTTATTCTCATTTTCATTTAACTATGTTGTCACTTGTATATGCACACCCACTATCAGTACACTTGGACAAATCTGAGCCAGCACCGTATAAATGACACTTCTTATCCCACGTGTATCCCTCATGAAGTGTGTAAAATTCTCTCTATGGCAAATATTCCTAAACTACTATTCATTTGTATTCCAGCCAGAGTACAGACTAGGACCAGAAGCTAGGCACATATGACTCCTCATGTTACAGTGGTTCCCTGTAGGTTTGTGTATTGATTTTAAAATCTTTGGAGTTTTTTTTTACGTGTGTGAACCTGTGAGATCTCTCACCATCTGGGAGTGTCAAATGCCCAGAAATGTTTGCAGAGCCTGCTTTCCAAAATAGTTATCTTCGGAACAGCAGAGCTGAGGTAAGTGACAACGGACAAGCTGAAAACCCATCCCATCTTGATTCTTATCTTTATCTATATTTCTAAACTACTTTTTTTATTTAATTATTAGATACATTTTTATCCCATGTAATACCCATATGCTGCAGTGATCCTTGGGTATTACATTTTGACAGAATCCTTGAATCCCAGATGCCCTTTAACCTTGTCCTCACATGTACAGTGTGCACTATAGGGGGCAAACACATCATTCTCAAGGCCACCGGGAATTCTTGTGAAATATTTTAAGTATTTATGACAGGGGCCCATGAGTCTTTTCTCACAGAGAGAGGAGGGGAGAAAACTGGGTATCATTTCACACAACTTTTTATGATTTGGGAGGTCAAACAGGAGTCATGGCTTGATGTACTGACTGCATATCAGTTGTTCACAAGTGATACAAATTGCTGGCGTGAAATAGTTCAAGTGGAAATGTCATTTCTGTTTTAGTGTCATTCTGCAGAAGGTGTAGCCTCAGGCATTGCAAAGAAAAAAGAACACAAGGCTTTTTGGCTTTCTTGTTCCCCAAAAACATTTAGCTGTGCAGGCCAAAGCACATTAAATAGATGATCTTTAAATACCTGATTTGAATGCAAGAGTGAGCACTGAATGTGTTCTGCGCTGCTAGCCCTATCTCCCTCTGTGTCTCTTTATGTTGAATCTGATTGTCTAGATTGCCATTTAACATAATTTTATGTTACGCATCTTTGTCTCGCTGTGCTTACATCCAGATCTCCAGGATAGAAAACATGTCTCACCTGAGCGAGCTGCGAGTGTTGAACCTGGCAGGAAACAACATCTCCAGAGTGGAAAACCTGCAGGGCCTGGACTGTTTGACTGAACTCAACCTACGACACAATTGCATCTCTGTTGTGGTGAGGGGCCTCTTTCCCAATGAGCGACAGGTTAAAGCATTTTATTCACTGCGTGCTATTCTACTCCTTCATATAAAGGAAAAGGTACCAACTGTTCACAGCGATCACAATCTGATTTTCAACCAAGAACGAAGTTTCTGCCCTTCCCATTTGTGAGCCTTCTATTTCAAGTTAGAAATATTAAACAATTGTTAATAGATATCCGAAGAAGAAAGAGAAGGAGAAGAAGGAGGAGAAGGTAGTAAGATAATTGTGGGAAACAGTAGCTGCACACTTGAAAAGATAATATGCAGACTTCCTGAGCTGGTGAAGTTCCTGCAGCTGCCAATGGTAAATTCATAGTATTATTTTCTGCATTTAGATGAACAAATAAACACTTATGCACTTGTTTATGCACTATGTTCTTCATAGGATGAAAGTGCTAGTAGCTTCCTTATCTTTCATCTGGATGTCATTCCTTTTGACCTGGTCCTTTGGATGGTTATTGTTTCCCCTGTTGTGGGATCAAATGTAGCAGTTTTTACTGTCACAAAATAGCAAACACAGAAATTACATCAATAGAATCTTTGTAAGATAGTCTGTGGTGAAATGTATCTCAATGGTGTTACCTAGGGAGACGTAGGTCATTACCCACAACCTCCCACCGACTTTTTGGCGCAGTGGAAGAGGAACTGGATGTTCTAAACATGGAAATTCACTCCCCTTGGTTTCTATAGTTTTAATCTGATAAACAGAACACTGCATACCACTTCATTTGTATGCAAATCCCCCAAGCCCTCTCCTGCTTTTTGGGCTAGAAAATAAACACGGAATCCAACATTGTGTATGAAACCTCTTCTTGTCACTCATCCTGTCCTCTGCCGGCAAGTTCTGATCACGAACCACTTCCAGTCCCAATTACCGGATGTAATGTTTTATTTGATACACAGGAAAGGAAAACTGCTAGCCCTCAGCAGATTCTCTAGTCTCTGTCATTAGTGGTATTTGCTGGCATGTGCTTGTGTCAGGCACAAAGTAAATAAGCATCCCCCAGGTGTCCAGGTTTTCCCTTTCATTAAAGGCAGATGAAAAGTGGAATTCTGGACTAGAAAAAAATGCTGTGAGTGACTTATAATAAGATTTGTGTATATGTTAGGCTCAGTCATCCAATACATATTATATTAGCATACTGTGTGTTAAATATGCTTACTTTATCTTAAGTTAATGTTTTTAGGAAAGTGTATGCTTTTACATGTGTTGACACATCAGGACAGTATTTAGGTCATCCTTTAATGCATCTAAACATGTATTTTTGATAACCTATTTTCATTTAATCTGTTTTGTTGCTGTTTAATCTGTTTACCTATGGCCAGTTGTGGTTTAAGCATCACTACAATTGAAAATGTAAAAAATTGCGTGTGTGTGTGTGCGTGTAGCTTGTTTTGCTATGTTCGTGGTTTAAAAAATTCGGGATTCCACTATACTTGTGAGGTCCGACGGCTTTGTGGGGACCAAAATGCTGGGCTCCACAAGTTTAAAGGGTTTTTTGAGGGTCAAGACTTGGTTTTAGGGTTCACATTAGAAATAAATAAGAAATTAACGTGCTGCCTTAAAGCACTGTGGAAAATACTAATATTAAAACTTGAACGATCAAAAACAGAATCAACACAAATACTAAAATGAGGATTTTTGCAATGCCCAAGTCCTCAGAATGTGAAGTTAAAGGGAAATGAGCAAGCTAACTATTAAGTGATACCTGCGAAGTGCCGTGCAATAACAACAGAGCAATGACCACTTAACACCAGATTGCAGTCTTGCACATAATGCACAGCACCTGCAGTTCTAGCATACAGTACCTGAGGCCAGATGTATGTCATCAAAGAGCAGCCACAAAACCCAACAGCTTACAGTCTTTGAAATCCCCTCAGCATCCACATGTACCTGTGTGTTTGTTTGAGCAGCTTTCATGCCCTTGTTGCTCATGTTTTTGCATGCAACCGAGACAGTGGTGATGAGAAGTAGTTCTATGTTTGTGGAGTAATGCCTCTGCCAGAGCTCAGTATGAGTGTGAAAAATGAAGACATGCAAACTGTCAGTGAGAAGAGGGCGGAGGCACACAGACACATAAAAGCATACCGCTGCACACACACAGCTGTACCCAACCTCACAGCTGATTGGTTCTGATCAATCGTTTTTTTTGTTTGTTTTTTTTGTTTTTTTTGAAAAATAGACCACATTGGTGGGCGATTGTTGTGCAGCACATCAGCTCAGTGATGACGACATTCTGTCTGAGACAGGGCTGCTATATTTAGTCTCTGACAGTGTGCAGTGGCTGCTGCTTCACCAGCATCCATACAGGAACTGGCACAGACAGAGACTCTGGGAGTGTGGTGGAGGGTCAGCAGAAGCTAGCATTGTATAGCATGAGTTGCAGTTTTTCAACAGAAGGAAAGAGAACACACCCAACAGTGAAGCATCACACAGCATCTATAACTAAAATGCACCTTCATAGTCTTTAATGCAAATAATGTAAAATAATCAATGTTCAATATGCAGTCATAAGAATCATAATTTGTTTCTCCATACATCAGAAATAACTGCTCATGAGTGATTTTGTTTTACCACTAGGGAGCAATAAGCCTGGATTATCAAGTGCTCAAGGATAGCATATTTGCATACAGTTGACAGATTACATGTTTGGATTACATAGAACAACACGATCATCCCATTTTAGTTGTGTTTCAAACCACCTGACAAATGTTAAGTCCAACATTCACTTGTCAAATAAATGTCTGGTTTGCTTTGGCATGCTAGATGTTCAGCTTTCACTCACATACCTTTTCTCGCCACCATTTTAAGATGGACAGGTACTGTCGCTTAGTGGAGCTGGGAAAACATGACATTCCTGTCATATTGCAAAGTAACCCTTTCTACTTTATCAGTTATTATGTGCAAATAGTACTTAGCTTGTTTTTGTTGTCTGATAATGTAGAGAAAAAAAGGTCAGAGAGTAAAATGTGTTTAAAGTGCACAGCCACTGATGTACACTAAACTCAGTTCTCATATGCAAAATAGTTTGCATGATTCTCATTCAGTGTTGTGTCAGAGATATGCTCGCTATGTTTCGCCAAATAAATGACTAATTAAGAAAACCCTTTAGAAGATTAACTGAAAAATATTTGGGGGAAAGGTAGGCAGTCCAGATCATGAAAAGGTCAGCAGGATGTCTGCAGATTGGAAAGAGACTGAAATATACAGTGAAAGGTGAGATATCACTCACTGTGTGCTAGCTTGTTGAAAGAATTCCATGGCTCACATATAATAAATGATGAAACTCTCTATACTGTGTATTACATTTTCACAGAAGAGTCACAGGTAAAATATTTTATCTCATTAAGTCCACAGATTGAGCATCAAATAATGTAGCACAACAACCACTCTTATAAACAAACTGCTGATGTTGCATATTGTACTATAGTGAGCATTTTGGCCGTTGGAATGGATGAAACAAGGATGAGCAACTGTGTATAACTATATTTATATGGTGATGTGGACGGGGGTTGTACAGACTTTGTAGATGATGAGACTATGTGCTGCAGTATTGTACTGTATTCTGCAGATGAGCTAGCATAGCGTAAATGATAGATGGTCTCTCATTTGAACAGTTCTGGAGGCTGCGAGGCGGTGGCTTCAGTATGGGCGGACGCTGACGCAGTGTCATTCAGATTGCTGCTGGGAGTGTCCTACTGGCTACCAGCATGTGCAATACTGGCCATCAACACACACACACACACACACACACACACACACAGCTTGACACTACTGAACATGATATCCTCCATCTGATTAGCTTAGCTTGTGACATTGGCTATGTTCCTACATATCCTCTTTAGCTTGCAAGCTGGCCAGCTGCTGCTCCTCACCCCGCCCCATCTCTAAATTCTGCATTGATTTTGATGCTGAGCCTGCTTGATGAAAAAACCCCATCCCAGTCTTTCCACTGAATTTTGCCCAGCTATTGTTCTTGTGTGACGAGGTACAGTTGCTAGCTGCTCATAGTGAGTGTATTTGTTCTGGTGAGAGTTAGCCTCCTGCAGCAGGGGATCTCTGCAGTAGCGCAGCACACGATCCGCTATCTCTCCCCTCCCCCTTTCCTCTTCAGACTCTCACTCTCTCTCTCCTGCCCCTCCTCTCCATGTGCAGACAAGGCAGCATGCTGTATGTGTGTGTGTGCATGGGCAGGGTGGATGGGGATGCTGTATACTGGAGCTGAGAACTGCAAGGTGACTGAGGGAATGGAGAGGGATACAGAGCTCTGACGACAGTGACGATGCAGTGCCCTCTTCCCGAGCACCTTCTCCTCTTCACATCCCTCCATCTCTCTTTCTTCCCTCTCCCTCTTTCTCTTTTTAGACTAAGGTGGACCGCCTGCCCTGCTTGCAGCGCCTCTTTCTCAGCTGTAACAACATCACCAGGTAAGAGCTTGTACCGCTTAACTCCCTCCTCCCCACAGGACAGGGACAGGGGATAGTGGCTGGACAGGCATAGTGGCTGGACAGTTCCACATCCACTCCCTTGGCTCTTGGCAGAGCCTGGCCAACAAGCTGCAGGCAGAATACACACAAACATGTGCGCACACACATACACACTTTTTCCAAAATCTGTAGTCTGTCTTTATTCTTTGCTTGTCCCTCTCTGAGCCCAGCAATGAAGATGTCAAAGAAGCATAGCTTTCTAACTGAATAAGGCTGTTTAAAATTGCTTTGTGTTTGCCTGGAGGAGGGGCCTGTATGTTGGATTCAGGGTGGGATAGTGTTCATTAGCCTCCTTCACCATAGTCACCTTGTGCTGTGACAGATCTGACCTGACTTCTCAAGCCAGCACTGCTGTTCTGGTGTCTGCGTGATTCTGTGTCTGACACAGTTACAGAGTGAATCATGACATAGAAATAGGTAACAGGTAATCAGTTTGTACTCTTAAACCCCTTTTTTCCATTTAGGGTGACACTGCATTCTAAGTACAGTGTGGTAAAGGCAAATTAAAGATACTCCTTTGAATGGATGCACACTGTGCCAGAGTATAAACTTGTGTGTCTACCCTTTGAAACTGTTCAATGCTGATAGGAGAACGGTTGTGCTCTGTTGCTAGGTAAAGGGACAGAACACACTCGTCTACATGGTGCAGTCAGTTTGACCAGTAGAGGATGTTGAAGCAAAAAGAATCCCACATGTTTACGATTATTTCACTTTTCATAATTTTGCAATTTTGACTATACCTGCCTGAATTAAGTTTGACACCTTATATGTGGAGGAAATGAGACCTAAAAATGAAAGCTCAATTAAGAAAACGGCGCTGGGATTGTAGTGCTAAATGACTTTGGAAAATACACAATTTTCATCCTCGCCCCACTCTGCACACACATCACACAGGTGCATGTAGACTTTCCATTACTGTGACTATTTATAGAGCGGTTCTATAAAATCATGCATGAGATGCAATCAAGCATCATTGGGATCTCTTAAATAGTCTCTCATAATCACTGTGGAAAAAAATCCCTCTTTGTTATTGCTAGAATATAACTTACTCCATTAAGTATGTAATGACACGAAGTATTGTATAAGCATGGGGATTAAAAACGAATGAAAATGCCAGGTTACAGGTTACTGCATGTAATAGACTGACCCACAGTATATCCACGCTATGCTCCTGTGCATTAGAGCCGTCTAGCTGTGGCAACTGAGAGTAGAAAAATTCCAATTTCTCAAATTATTTCTCTTCCCTGACTACCCCTAATGAAATGTGAATTGTAGCTTTGCATCTGTTTGAACTCCAACAGTACTTTCTGTAATAGTTCATGAGAGGTTATTATCTGACCCCCTTTTCCACCCAAATAAACCTCTGGCTAGGATCAGGCACAGTGCAGTGTAGTAGGTTCATAAGTAGTTTCAGGCAAGTTATTTATCAAGTTTATTATTGCAAATTAGCAGTGATAAAATCTCCACTGCCTTACATAGCATGACTGTGCTTTTTCTTGTCTCCCTTTGCCACAGGGTGATATCAACAGTGTAGTAGATTTTTCTCTCTTCATTGCCCCCTGAGTAATGTCATGTGTTGTTTTAGCTTGACTCCATTCTGTCAATACAGTCATAGATGAAAGAGTTCAAGATTCAAAAAATAGATGGGGTAAGTCAGGGTTCAGTATAGGGTGGTTAAGCAGCTGGATGACTCAGGCTTCCCAGTACTTAGTTAGGTCATCATGCCTCTGTATCATTGTGAAGCATTCAGTGTACCGTGTTTTTGTAATGAAAATGTGTGTGTGTGTGTAGCTTTAACTCTTGATCTCATTCAATATGTTTTTTCTGTGTCTAGTTTTGATCAGCTAGCCTGCCTTGGAGAGTTGCGTTCCCTTTCTGAGCTCACCCTGGATGGGAATCCTGTAGCCCTGGAGACATGGTACAAGCAGGCCGTCCTGCGCTGTGTGCTTCATCTGAGACAGCTGGACATGAAGCGCATCACAGTAAGGCTGAACTGTTTAACTGTGTCTGTGTGTGTTTGGCCAAATGCTGCTAATTCTAGTTGTAACTGTTGGATTTTTTTGTTAAATTTAGGTTATTGTCCCTTCAGATAATTTTTCTTTATTTCTACACATTTTGAACAGTGAGTCACATGACCAGAATGGGAAATCATGTGACAGTTTTATAATGCTGTATTGCCATTATCAAACATATTAAACAGCAAAGAGGATGATTTGATGATTTTAACTTAAAGCTATAACACCCTCACAGCTCATGACTGAGCTGTACTTACAAACTATGTCATATTTTGTGTCCTTTATGTCACTGTCTGAGCACACGTTCCTGAAGGCTCTGCACATGTTGATTCTTGAGCATGACTTGACATAAACATGATTGATGATAAACTTGATGATTTCACAGTTCTAAACAAACTTTCGATGAACCCACATGGGCAGTCTCCTGTTCACTGCCAATGGGGCATCTCCAAGCTCCTCTTCACAATGCTATACTCCTTAGTCTTTGTTCTTTCACATTGGTGCAGCATTCATCATGTTCTCTGTAGCTTATTAGAGGCAGAAATTAATTGTTGACTAAACTAAAAGCTAAGCATTTACAACAAACACAATGCATATCCAGTCTAACAAAACAATGATTATTCTCAGACATAAATATGAAGTCAATGTATGAATATAGCATGCCAGCAAAGTGCTACAGTGAAATATCAGCATGCTTTTAGAGGCTGTCAAGCAGGGAGCACCCAGGTCTGAGCTTGTACTTTAAAGGAATCTGCAAGTACCACACACCTTGCCCTCAGAACATACTGCTGATACTTTGGGAGAAAAAAAGCCCATGTAACTCCAATTTCAACAATTTTCATGTTTTTACATGATTTTCAAGCTACATGTGGTCCTTAACCGTTTAGGCAAGTTTCATGATCTCCAGGGCCTATTAAACCCCTCCAACAAACTACTGTCTGTAGCTGTCAATCCTGAAAACAGGGATGGTGTTTTATTTCCAGAAAGTATACTTCTGGGGGATGCAATGTTTTGATTTGACAACAACAACAGCCTAGGAATTGAGTTTCCTTTTCAAACCGCATCAAGATATTGCTAGGGGCAATCTTCATAGTAGCCATTAAAGATCTAGATTTTCCCCTCCAACTGATTTGGAAAAACTTGCCACAGTGCACTATGCTGTCAGTAGAAGTGAGATCATATTATCTGAGGTAAAATCTATGCCTGACTGCTGGCAGATTGTCCATTATTTATGAATGAAATGAGAGTTAATACTGCAAATGAGGAGATACAATACTATTGTTCTCTTTGGGGTAAATTATGTTGCTTGTGGGAATATATTTATAATAATAAAAGAAGTTCAAACAAGACACATACAGTAGACTGAAACTGTCTTTGACTAAAGATATTATCACTCGGCTTATAGTCATTGTATTTTATTGACTAATAAAATGTATAATCCCACTCTGATTATAATATATTTAATATGGCTAATGTTGAAGAAAATATTGTGAGCCAGGTTCAGGTGTGAAGAAGTTTCAGAGACTGATGAAGACTTAACATAGCATGATTTATTGAGCCCGGCCAAGGAGATACAGTGCCAGCATGCAACATGTGAACACGTCAAATGCCAGCACCAAATCTGAAGGATAACGTCTTTTGGTCCCTTTTATGTTGTATGTATGTCTTCCCCCTAGTGCCTGTAGGTTTCTCTATTAGGTCATCTTTAACTGGCCTTAAACTAGAACAACAAATCTATCGGATCTGATGTTTAGACTCCAATGCTTCGTCATATTGGAATCTATCACTATCCATGAGTTGTACTCTAATCTGTGGAGCCAGTGAGTTCTTGTAAATATTCTTGTAGGACTCAACCTTGTAAGATTCCCAGAGAACACTGATATCTGCCAGCCTGATGCCTGAGCTACTGTCAATAACTAAATCAGTCTATTGTTGTCTCCCTGACAAGGACAAATACATGTGAGAAATACCTAAAGTTAGAATGTCAGAAAAGACTTATGGAGTCAGCTAAATTACTGTAAGCTAGACCTGTCTTACCTTTCCCTGTTAACATCAACAAAGCCCCTTAAGAAATATTCTCAACAGCTAATAGATCTTCTATATCAAAGACAACTATTATGTTATTTTATATATTGTGTATATATATTTTTTTCAGCAAATAACTTCAAATTGTATAATTTCATTATTAAACTGGAAATATTGTTGTTTACTGAAACCTTTCAGCCAAATAATCAAGATAACAGTCTATGTGGAGGCTGCCCAAACAAAGACATTGTTATTTCTGAAAAATAGCACCCTTTGGAATCAATAAGATATTGATTAATTTCACAGAGTAGCTGTTCTTCTCACAAAATTAGTTTAAAGTAGTGACATACAAGCCTGGCATCTTAATCTGTTTCCACTAGCTAACATCAGTGCCTTGACTCCTGTGAGGCTAGCATTTGCCTCTATTGATCAGACTGAAGTATCGTCTCTGCTAGCTCGTCACAGGCAACTGAATATCTCCCAGCTCAGATTGTGATGGCAGCATTGCATTCTGGGAGTTTTGGCTTTCCCCAACAGCTGGGCTCTGTTGATCTGAAACTGAAAATCAGACAGATAATCCTGTGATGCAGCCGGCTGGTGTGAGAATCTCTCCCATCCTCCACAGTGGTCCAGTTCTGGTGTAGAGAACAGTCTTTCTGACGACGTCTTTTGTGGTTCCCCTCTCTCTTGAATAATTCAGAACTCATGAATGGAACGGCACTCTGATTGCACAAGCTATCTTTTTCAGGACGAGGATCGGCGCATGGCTGGTGTACAGGCTCGAAAAGAGGAGGAGAAGAAGAGGGAGAGTCACAAACAGACTATTCATAAGGTACCACTCTGATCTGAATTGCTGTAGTTGTCATTGTCTGCCTGGATTTACCTTTTAAATATGCAGCAAGTACACGTGACGGCCTACATCTCAGAGAGTAGATTAACAAGTGTTAGTTATTCTTGGTAGAAAGAACATAATTAGTTGCAAAGGTTCAAAGTACTGGACGGAGCTACACACATTATCATTCTAAAACTACCACGTTATTAACAGTGTTTTATGCATGAGCTGAATGTTATACTGTATGTGCTTTAGTTTGAATCCAGTGTTTTATAGTATAAGGCAGCAGCAGGCCATTATAATTATCCAGGTTAAAGCCAAGATTAAGTGTGTATTTGGACAATAATCAGAATCAGAATCAGACTCATAAATACTTGATTGATCAAACTCTGTGTCACATTTGCACACATTAAACATCATGGTAAAGGAATATAATAAATATAGAAAGTTGGTATATAAAGATGTATATAAATATCAATTAAAATAGTCAGAAGTAGCACAAGAGTATTGCACATTTAATATTTAAACAGTTATTATTGCACAACACAGATAATAATGTCAAATGTAAATGCTCCGTACTGTAGCTCTTTCTAGTCTTTTCGACCACTCAAAGCGCTTTTACACTACATCTGCATTCACCATTCACACACATTCATACACTGAGCCTAAGTGCTCAAACGGAAACTAACATCACACACATTCATACCTGGCGGAATAGCCACCAGGGGCAAATCGGGGTTCAGTATCTTGCCTAAGGACACTTCGACACGCAACCAGGGGGAGCCAGGGATTGAACCGCCGACCTTCCGATTAACGGCCAACCCGCTCTACCCAATGTCCATTTAATAACTAAGTGTCCATGTGTCAGACATTGCCACAGGCAGGAATGACTTCCTGTGGCATCTGTGGTGCATTTTGGGGGGAGAGTCTTGCACTGAAAGTGCTCCTGTGTTTGAGCAGCACGTCATGGTGTGGGTGGGAGACACTGTCCAAGATGACATGCAGCTTGGACAGCATCCTCCTAACTGACACCCGGTAGAGACCCAGCTCCACCCCCACAACGTCACTGGCCTTGCAAATCAGTTTGTTGAGCCTGTTGGCGTCCGCTACCCTCAACTTGCTGCCCCAGCATGCTATAGCGAACAGGATAGCACTGGCCACCACAGACTCATAAAGCATCCTCAGCATTGTCTGAGCCTCCTCAGAAAATAGAGACTGCTTTGGCCCTTGCTGTAAAGGGCTTGGTGTTCTTGGCCCAGTCCAGTTTAATTATCTTATCTATATTATATTATGTGCACGCCCAGGTATTTGTAGTCCTCCACAATGTCCACAAACCTGGCTTTGCGAATGACAGGACACAAACCTCTTAATGGTACTTTTTATCAGCTTGCCCTTAAAATATATGTAATGCCAAACCTATAAAATGTTCAAATCTTTCTCCCTCATGTCACGGTCTTTATCTATGTGCTTGTGATTATTGAGGATGTGTTTTAG